TGGGGCAGCAGAGGGAAGGGAAAAATAGAGGGAGGCAAGCCATGTTTCTTTCCCTCTGCTTAGCTATAAGGCAGGGCTGTCTCAAGTCATTTTGCTGCCCCATAGTAAGGGAGGCCAGCCTCATGGTAACAGGTATGGTTCCCTCCACTCCTGACTTATGTTGATTTGGGGTTATGCAGTGGCAGCTAAGGTAGAAAAGCACCTTCTCCTATGCCATGTTTTCTGAGTTCCAAATGTCTGGGAAGTGGTTCCATAGCCAGTTACAGAGTTGCCAACTCTGGGTTGAGAAATACCTGTAAATTTGAAGGGTAGAGCCTGGGGAGGGCAGGGTTTGAGGTGTGGAGGGACTTCAGCAGGGTATAATGCCATAGAGTCCACTGGCCAAAGCAGCCATTGTCTCCAGGAGAACTGATCTTGGTCATCTAGACATCAGTTTTAATAGCTGGAGATCTCCAGGTGCCGCCTGGAGGTTGGCTTATGTTAATTTGGGGCTATGCAGTGGCAGCTAAGATAGAAAAGCACCTCCTCCTATACCATGTTTTCTGGGTTCCAAGGATGTGGAAAGTGGTTCCATAGCCAATTACACGGTTGCCAACTCTGGGTTGGGAAATACCTGTAGATTTGAGGGATAGAGCCTGGGAAGGGCAGGGTGTGGGGTGTAGAGGAATTTCAGCAGGTATAATGCCATAGAGTCCACTGCCCAAAGCAGCCATTGTCTTCAGGAGAACTGATCTTGGTCATCTGGAGATCAGTTGTAATAGCTGGGAAATTTTCTGTAGGGGAAATGATGTGCTTTGGCTGGGGAACACGGTAATTTCTGGGAGATCTCCAGGCCCCACAGGGAGATTGGCAACTCCAATGACCATTTAAGGGAAGATTGGGATATGTATTTTACCTCAGGACACATTCAATGACTCCCAACAGCAACAGCAAACTGTTTAGAATGTTAGAGGCAAAGGCCAATCAGGCCGCATATGCAAACGACCTCTGAGTTCCAACCGGCTCTGGGGGGGAGAGGAACAGCAAACTGTTTAGAATGTTGGAGGTGAGACTCAGGCAACGCAGCCAGTGCATAGGGACAGCATCTGAGTGACATATCATGGAGCCAACTGATTTAGGAGCGTGTGGAGTGTTCAGAAAGTGCCACCCCACTTCACAATTATATATGAGAGATAGTTCGACTCTCAGATCTAGTGTTGATCACAACCTACTGCATATTAAGCTTGTGTTGCAATTTACATTCTAATTATCCATTTTAATTGCTTTCAACTGGCAGAGACATTCCATTTTTTCTCTCTGCCACGGTGTATGTATTTATTTATTCAGTTGTCAGTGCCAAATTTGTGGTATTCAGCAGGCGTGCATACACAAAGGTTTTAACAAAATGTTCCACAAAATCTTTCTGTATTTGTAAATTAACTGGATGTAATTGATCAGGGTAGAATGGTTAAAAAAAATATGGCATGGAAAGGATGAGAACAAGGGGAGAACAATGTAAGCTACTTTGGGTTCCCATTAAGGAGTTAGGTGGGATATAAATGGTTGGCGCTGCTCTTAAAAGTGTTCAGAAACTTCAATCAGTACATAATGTCTTAGTCAGCATGGTGATTGCAGTGGGTCATAGGTACCATAGAGTTGCTAACCTCCAGCTGGGCCCTGGAGATTTCCCAGAATTACAACTGATCTGCAGACTACAGAGTTCAGTTCCCCTGGAGCAAATGGCTACTTTGGAGGGTGGACTTTGTGGCATTATACCTCACTGAGGTCCCTGCCCTCCCCAGGCTCCACCTCCAAATCTCCAGGAATTTCCTAATCCAGAGTAGAGAACTCTCCATATCACTCCAGTCTTGGCCCATCTACACTAGCTCCCAGTTTGTTTCAAGGCAAAGTGCTGTTGTTGACAGCTTGGGACTAGCATACTTGAAGGGCTGCCCACTTACATACAAACCTACCCAACTACTAAAGCCATCTTCTGGGGCCCTGGTTCAGGTGATCCACCTTCTGAGATTAGACAGGTGACAGCCCAAGAGAGGGCCTTTTCAGTCATGGCACCAAAACTACATAACTCCCCCCCCCCCGGGGATATTCATCTGTCCCCTTCTGTTCTGTCTTCCCTCAGCAGGTGAAGACTTTTTTGTTTTGTCTGGTGTTCCCTCAATGATGCCTCCTTCCTGCCCACATGATTTAATCACTGTTCTATGTGCTACTTCATGTGTACCTCAGTTTTGGATTTAATTGTTTTTATGATACATTTTACAGCCCTTTGTTTTAGCAGTTAGCTGCCTTGGTGGGCCTGATCGAGCAGAAAAGCAGCGTACAGATCTTGTTGATAGATAAATAATAAATAAACTAGTTCCACATGCCTTGAGTTTCTCAATCAGCAGAGTTCTGAAAATGCTAATAGAAGCCATGCAGGGGTTTGGTTTGTCTTAGGACCATGTGGGTGGGTGGGTTTAACTCTTTCCTTGCCATGTGATTTTGCCAATCAAAACCTTCTCCCATGCTGGTATAGGCCTTAAAAGGGGGAAAGGGTCATCCCCCCCTTTGAGAACTAATAATACCATATGTATGTGCCCCCCCAGTTTTAATTGGCAGTGCCATACAGGAGAAGGAAGTTAAACACCCTCCCCCTTACATGGCCCCAATCCAAACTAGGTTCCTGCACAATTTATATTAGTATTTAAAAAACACTGAGTTGATTCAATCACAGACTGTTCAGGATTTAATTTGTTTTGATACTTAGCCACAGTCAGCATTTATTTATTAATATTCAAAATATTTATATTCCACCTTTTTTCATTCCACCTTTTTATATTCCACCTTTTCTTTGTTAAACTGCTGTAGTAGTTCCTGCTGTGGATAAAAAGTCACTCTGTAGACAGACGGCAAGGTGCTAGCATTGCTTTCTCCTCCTCTCCTCTGCGGCTTTGAGCCCCTCAGCAAAACCTGTCTACCAAAGCTACATTTTCTGCAAGCTGTTTGCATGATTAATGGACACCAGAGATAGCATCTGCTAACACCTCATCCTGTGGCGGAGGGAAGGAGATGAACAGCCTCCCTTTGCTAAACAAGCCTTCCTTATATGGTGCGTGGCGTGAACATCAGTGGCCATCAAGCTCAGGAAAAGGAGTGCAGAAATCCAGTGCCTGTTTTCTTAGCATAGCCACATCCCCAAAGCAGAGGTACCATGCTTTAGTCAATCATCTGAAATGAATAAATGTGCTCCCTGTGGCTAATCCAGTCCATGGATGTAGATAGATTCAGACAACAAAAGACAAAGAAAGGGGGGGGAGAGAGAACTTAACCCCCCAAAAAATTGAATTAAGAACCAAAAGGTTAAGGAAATCAGAATATAAAAATTACCAAATATACAAAAATATACATGTATTCAGGGGTCGTTTCGTAGAAAAAGAGCTAGGGGAACTCATTAGCATAACTCATTAGCATATGCCACACCCCCTGACATCAGGGGCCCGGCGGTGGACCTGCAAGGCCGGCAGGAGTGCAAGGAAGCCCCGCCAAGGCCCTCCCTGGCCCCAGGCAGGGGTGGGGAGAGGCAGGGAGGAAGCAACTTACCCTCCCTCTTCTCCTGCCTCCTCCTGGCTGAATGAGGGCCGGAAGCGGGGTGGCCGGAAGCAGGGAGTGGGGCTTCGTTGTGTGCCCCGCCCCCCGCACCTCACCAGGGGGAACTGTGATCCCCCGCGTTCCCCCCCGAAATGACCTCTGCATGTATTTATTACAAATTCAATACGAATAAATATAGGCCCAAGTAATAGTCTTGAATAAAATTACATGAATAGAATAAAATTACATGTTAATCTCAAAGACAGACCTTTACTGACCCTGACCAAATGCATTTTGGTCAATTGGCCTTCCTCAGTGGTCAAATAATCTTGTTACAGAGTGGCTCCAGACATTACAATAGTACAGTCATTTCTTAAACTTAGACCAAGGTGAGATTGTTTTATAATCATCACCTGTGACCTAAGGCAGAGATATAAATCAGTGGCCTCATTCTAGATAACTTCCTGCCATGGTCAGGTACACTTCCCTTGAATAATGGTTCAATTGTGTACCTTTCTTTCCTGGTCAAAAATTTAGATGCAGTCTGGAGCCAATAGTAATGTAATACATTCGAACACACCATATCCTAGCAAGCTTGAGCCAAGATCACATGTAGGTTGAGTACTGTTTGTAGGTTGAGTGAACTCCTGTCCAGCAGCCACATGCCCCATCCAATCTCTGTGCCTTTAGGTATCTTTTGCTTTTCAGTATACCTGTCCTTGATCATCTGCCTGGTACCTATACATCAGCCTGATTAGTCAGTAGCCACACACTGCGCTGTGTCTCCTGTGCTGAGTAACAAAGCTTTTGCTCAGGCCATGCAGCAACACATAATTAGTTAGACAGACAGCTTGGTGACATGAATGAATTCATTTGTTGTGTGCCTTTCCTCATTTATAATAGATGGTCATATGAATGAATATAGGTACACATCTCTATGGAATATGTGCATAATGAAAATCTGTACACATACCTGTTCCTTTAAAAAAACATGTACTGAACTTTAGTGTTGATAATAATTATTTGTCATTCAGAAAACCTCTACCAAGTTTTATTATAGGAAATATTAGGGGGAAAGGAAAAAGATATAACTTCAGCAGTCCAAGATCTATTCGTGTTTTTAGAAATTGATGCTAATTCAGACATGCTTAATTGGTTGTAAACACTGGCTTCTGCCCCTTATTTCTTTCATTCATTTTCCTTTTAATAAAAGCTGAACTGGAAATTATTAGCCAACAGCAGATCTGCAGATTTCTGAATGTAACTGTAAGCAATACATGATGTGAATAGCTTATTCATGGAAGTTTCTGTAAGTGTGTGTGATACTGAAAGATAGTACTTTATACCTGTCTTACGCTGCATCTGGATAACACATTTTTACTATTTTTTATTCTGCAGGTTGGAAAACATTTTGAATTTGGTCAGACGAAGCAATCATGTTGGGATTAAAGAATCCAACTGCCTTTCCTGGTGTTCTTTTAAGTGTTGCTGTACTGTTACTGTTGCACATGGACCAAGTGCATACAGAAAATTCGAATGAGGAGCCGAAAAATAAATCACTTTGTACTGGTACCTACATTTGCAAGACAGGGGTAATTTTGCCAATCTGGCAACCTCAAGACCCTTCATTTGGCGATAAAATAGCAAGAGCTACTGTATACTTTGTGGCTATGGTATACATGTTTCTAGGAGTATCCATCATAGCTGACCGCTTCATGTCATCCATAGAAGTTATTACATCCCAAGAAAGAGAAATAACAATCAAGAAACCCAATGGTGAGACCACCAAGACTACGGTCAGAGTTTGGAATGAGACTGTTTCCAATTTAACACTGATGGCTCTAGGCTCTTCGGCACCTGAGATCCTCCTTTCTGTCATTGAAGTGTGTGGCCATGGCTTCAATGCAGGAGACCTGGGGCCAAGCACTATTGTTGGAAGTGCTGCCTTTAACATGTTTGTCATCATAGCACTGTGTGTCTATGTTGTCCCTGACGGAGAGATCAGGAAGATAAAGCATCTTCGTGTGTTTTTTGTCACAGCAGCTTGGAGCATTTTTGCCTACACGTGGCTTTACCTAATTTTGTCAGTCATATCTCCTGGGGTTGTAGAGGTCTGGGAAGGCTTGCTCACCTTTTTCTTCTTCCCTATCTGTGTTGTGTTTGCATGGGTTGCTGACAGAAGGCTTTTGTTTTACAAATACGTCTACAAGAGGTATAGAGCTGGCAAGCAGAGGGGCATGATCATTGAGCATGAAGGTGACAGGCCAGCCTCCAAGGCTGATATTGAAATGGACGGGAAGGTGGTTAATTCCCATGTGGAGAGCTTCCTGGATGGCACTCTGGTCCTAGAGGTAGATGAGAAGGATCAAGATGATGAGGAAGCAAGGAGAGAAATGGCCAGGATCCTTAAAGAGCTGAAACAAAAGCATCCAGACAAAGAAGTTGAACAGTTGATAGAACTAGCTAACTATCAGGTTCTCAGCCAGCAGCAAAAGAGCCGAGCCTTTTACCGTATTCAGGCTACTCGCTTAATGACTGGAGCTGGCAATATATTGAAGAGACATGCTGCTGATCAAGCAAGGAAAGCTGTCAGTATGCACGAGGTCAACTGTGAAGTGGCAGACAACGACCCTGTCAGTAAGGTCTATTTTGATCAGTCCACCTACCAGTGCCTTGAGAACTGTGGCACAGTGGCCATAACTATTGTCCGCCGAGGGGGTGATTTGACCAAAACCATCTCTGTTGACTTCAGAACAGAAGATGGCACCGCCAATGCAGGTTCTGATTATGAGTTCACTGAAGGAACTGTGATATTTAAACCAGGCGAGACAGAGAAAGAAATACGAGTTGGCATAATTGATGACGATATCTTTGAGGAGGATGAGAACTTCCTTGTTCACCTCAGCAATGTGAGGGTCTCTTCTGAAGAGTCGGAAGACGGTGTTCTAGAGGTGAATCATGTCACACCTGTGGCTTGTTTGGGATCACCTGCTACTGCCACTGTCACTATCTTTGATGACGACCATGCTGGCATTTTTACCTTTGAGGAAGCAGTCACTCACGTGAGCGAGAGTGTGGGGACCATGGAAGTGAAAGTTCTACGGACATCCGGAGCTCGAGGAAATGTTATTGTGCCCTACAAAACAATTGAAGGCACTGCCAAAGGAGGTGGAGAGGATTTTGAAGATACTTGTGGAGAGCTTGAATTTCAGAATGACGAGATTGTGTAAGTACTTCTTAACCTGTGTGGCAGCATGAATTTTTTTTTTCAGTATAGTAAAAAGAATTACATTCAAAGCCCTTATTACTCATGTTGTTATCAAATATTAGATAATCTTGACCATAACTCACAAACATAGCAGAAGCCATGTGCCTTTGGGTGTCAGAGTTCTGGCTGTGAGAAACTCATACAAATTTCACATGAGTCATGAAAATGTGTGCATGAGAAAGAGAGAGTGTTTTCAGGAGAGTGTAATCTGGAGATGTGAATGTTTGAAAGGCCACATGGGAATCGTTGTGTTTAACGCCCTTTCGGATATTCCAGTGACAGCAAGGCTCAGGTTAGTAGAGTGAATTCTGCATAGAAAGTGTGGTACTTCTTTCTATCGACAATATAAGTCTGAATGCATCATGAGGGAAAGCAGACCTTATTTTCAGAGCTCTGTTGAGATGGTCCCGCTGTTCACTTTGCAAAAGGCAGCCTGTGACTAATAAATGCCTTTAAGTTGCAAGTTCAGAAGGGCTTGTCATTAGCCTTTGTGACATCATGAAATATTTATACTCTGCACTTTCAAGTTAATGTTACCACGTGGGGGAAAGTCTAATTAGGCAAGGCAGCCAGGTTTGACAGTTTACAAATGGGAAAGTGGTTAGAAAGGAAACATTGCTGATAAGCTTTTCCTGGCAACTGAGACTGAATTTCTTCTTCTTCTTCTTCTTCTTCTTCCACAGACACAAACACACATGCACTCTCTCTCTCTTACTGCTGCCTTTGTTTTTCATATTGTGAAGAAAACAGAACTGTTAAGATGAAAAGTGCAGTATACACAAACACATATACTCCATTTCCATCCTATTTTTCCCTGGGTGGGAGAAGGAACACTGCCTATTCTCAGTAACAGGTTCTTCATAAAATGAGGATGTTGCCCAAAGACCAAAACCGTGTGGACAACAGTTTGTGTAACAGTGGTGGTATTAGAATTCCCAAGCAAGAGCAGTCCCTGTTGAAGGGAATCTGTGGACAGTGACACATAGAGTACTATTCCTGTTTTGTGATTTTGCACATTCACATTGTGAAGTTGCTTTTTGTTGTTGTTTTGCATTGCTGGAAGGTATAATGAAAGTAGCAGTGAAATAGTGATAACTTCAAAGGATGCAAAGTCTTTTTTAAAAAAGTCCTCCAGGGAGAGTGGAGGAGCAAGGAATGGGGAGGGGTTGTTTGGTTTTGTGTAGCCCTGACCTGGTTAGCCCAGGCTAGCCTGATCCCATCAGATCTCAGAAGCTAAGCAGGGTCGGCCATGGTCAGTATTTGGAAGGGCAACCTCCAAGGAATAAACAACCTCTGAAATTTCTCTTGCCTTAAAAACAAGTCTAGCTCACCACCTAATGGTGCATCACACTAAAGAGCTAGAACTTGTGACTGCCAGACAATCCTAGGATCTCCTGGCTATTCTATACACAATGTTATATGAAATTATTATTATGCTTTTGTGTATTTCTCCCTGTAAATGGATTTTTAAAAAACCCCTAGGGCAACTTTACTTTTCATTTTGAGCTTTTTCGTTTGGTCCGCCCGTGTTGATGCTGATATTTTCCACTGGCATCTGTCAGCTGTGACTGATAAGGCTGCAGTGTTGCTGCAGTAAGGCTTTTTTAAAAAAAACTTTTATTTTAAACTTTTCAGAACATTAGTTTGGTATAGCTTGACAAAAGATAATTGCATCTATTAGTCACAATACAGGATGTTACAATATAAAATGAGATTATTTCCCTAATTTTCAATATATATACTTTCAAAATATGCACGTTTTCAAGGTATGTGTCAGATTTCACTATCTATGTAAGAGGAATTCTGTATGGCTTTAATTTGTGGAGTTATTTTCTCAGCTATTAAAATTTGGTGTATTGTATCAAGTATTTATGGCAGGTATGAGTTTGGTTTTCCAGAGTTTATTAATGAGCATTTTTGCAGCCAAAAGGAATAATATTAATTCCTTACAAATATTTGGAAAATATGAGGTCTTCTATAACCTCATTGCATTTGGGGAATTAGGTATTTTGTAAATCATTATTTTTTTCAGTGTGACTAACTTTGCACCTTTGGACAAGACTACCAGTGATGTAGTTAAGAGCTATTTCTCCCACGTTTTCTCCAGGGTGTTTTGGGATATTTGAGTACGGTTAGCTGAAACCCCAGTCACATGTACCCTATAAAGTTGTTGAGATTATGAGTAGTAGAGAAGTCAAATTTCAGTAGTCTTGCCCCTGAGCGTACCTTGTTTCCCTATACTGACCATAAGAGTGTGTATAGGGCTGACCTATATATTGCATAGGCTCCCTTTAAACATTGGCTTGAATCCAGCCATGCATTTCTGCAGGCAGGAGGATGTCTGCCCACAGAGTGTGACTTTCTGACTACATTCATTTTAAAATGACCCCTGAAATGCTGCTCCTGGGGAGTATTTTGAGCTGTAGCAGGCAAAGAAATTGTGCAGAAATGCTTGGCTGGATCCAAGGCATTATGTGTAAATATACTGATAAAAGGCAGATCCAGAGGGGAGGAGGTGGGTACAGTCTTGTGCCTCCACTGTGTAGCTGATACGCTCTTTGAGGTATATACACATAGGGCTTATGGCTGTTCAAAAGAAACGGTAGGACGGCATAACTAATATATTTTACCTTTCAGTTTTTTTGAGACTTAAAGCAGGATAAGCGTGTGTAAGGAAGATGAACAAGCACAGTTGTGGTAAAGAATGTTAAAATATTTTAAAGCTTTACCTTTCCTGTATTATTACGCTTGTATGGTCCAGCCAACCGAAAAAGAAAAACAGTACCTAAAAAAATAAAGATGTAAAATGTATGATAATGTATTTGGGAAATATTTTATAATTTCATCGTTGCAGTTGTATGAAATGAAGTATGTGCAAAACGCAACTGATACATGATGTCCTGAGGCAGAATGACACCTTTGAGCCTTGGTTTTTTTTTTAATCTCAGGCCTTAACAGCTGTCCCACTGAACCTGTAGAAGCTTTCTTTTAATGACATGTTTTACCAAATATAAGTCAGTAATGGGTTAAACTAGATGGGATGTTGGGAGTTCTGTGCACAGAGCTCACAAGTATTTTTCTGCGTTAGAGGCAGCTGTACAGGGACTTGATTCAGATTTGAACTAGGGGATGGAAAGTTAACCCTTTTCCCCCATATGACATTTACTTGACTTGAAACAGACCTGGGGAGCTGGGACATAGATGTAGCCAGCATAAAAAGTGCCTGGACATTTGCTCCAATGGGGAAAAAATGGAAGCTCCATGAGGCTGTTGCAGGCAAACAGTGCAGGAGGAAAGGGTTTATCCCCCCCTTCCGTGTGCTATGGTCCCAGTCGGAATCAGGCACCTGCACAGGTGCCATTTGCAAACAAAGAAAAAGTGCTTGGGACCTCCAAGCGCACAGCCCCCAACACCTTACCTAGGTTATTCCTAAAACAGACTGCTGCTCACATCTACAGGAGCATTCCTAGGCTTCTTACTTAATATGGAAAGAAAGTTGAGATAAATTTAGAAATGAAATATAAGAACTTATATAAAAATAATTCCTTTCAAAAGCAAATGGAAAATTTGCTGTTGAATTTTTAAAATGCAGATTATCCCCATGATTAAAACCACAGGTTTCAGAATTTCAGGGTGAGCTCAGAATGTACTTTAAATGAAAAACTGGCCTGTTATGATCAGCCTCTCTGGTAATGAGGGGTACGCAGGCTACTCAGCCTGCAAGAAATGTCTGCCTCTGGTCATGGTCCTTCGAATATCTGTGAGTTAAGAAAGCATAGGTGGCACTTGGCTTTCCAGTATTAGATAACCATTTGAAAAATTTTGCCTGAGCAACAAATCATTATTTCCAGAAGACTCTACACAGTTTATGCGCCTGAAGCATGTTCACTGGGTCAATTCATTCACTATGATCTCACACAGGCACAGCTAATTTTAGACTCTTATAGAATAATGTAACTATGTGGGTTTTTTGTGCAGATCCAAGCACAACATTTCCTGGTTTGTATCCTCTTACACAAACACATGCTGACACTAATGGCTAAAAACCATAGGTCTCTCCTGGTACAGGTCTTCTACTCTTATACTCTGTGGGTTGGATCCAGACTAAGCTGGCAATTTCCACCGATTCCCCCTTCCTGCTGCAGAAAACCCCCCCCCCATGTCATTCCTTAGGGGTCCCCATCTATCCCCCCAGGAGCAGCACTTGGTGGAGATCAGTGGGCTGCAGTGGGAGGAGGGAGGCAGAAAAGTTCGCTTCTGCCATTGGAACATTCAGCTTGAATCCAGCCCAATATTTTATTGATCAGTGTAGGTACAGAGCAATAATAGAAAGTATTTTCAGGAAAGATAGGTGCCAGAACAACATGGGCAGTTAAAAGAGGGAAGTGAATGAAGATGTAAAAAAAATAATAAAGCAGCAGTCAAAGAGGTTATAGCCATGGCCTAATTTTCAGAGGTGCTGTGAGCCAAGCTCTCTCTGTTAAAAATCAATAGGACTTATGGGTGCTCAGTTCTTCTGCAAACAACCCTCTTTAGCCTCTAACATGCATTTCTCCAGGGTCCAATTACATAAAGCAGAGTTGCCTCGTCATATCTACAGAGGCTTCCCTATCCATCACAGTACACTTTGCATTGCTTTCTTCCCCACAGTGTATCAGACAGCTTTGGAGTAAAGTGAAGTCTGCTGTTTTACACCACACATCCAACATGCGAAACCGAGAGTAATCTCTTTCTGTATCCAACCTGAGACTCGAGGTACACACATGGGGCCTTCCTCTAGGATCCAGCTCTAGCTGAAGTTTTGACTGGCAGGGACCCTGGGGAAGGCTTTCTTAACCTCCCCCTTTCCCCAAGTGGCCTCTTCTTTTCAGGCCTCCTGGACCAATTGGAAGACCACTCTTTTCTGGTGAGGCCTTGAAATTTGATTGATTGGTGGTACTGCAGGTGGTTTCTATTTC